CCAAAAACATGCATGGCGCCATATTCCTCAAACCGCACTGGACAATGCTGCTTCATGCGATAAATGACAGCGTGTGATCCGGACAGGCACAGCGAACGAAGATATTTAGGGGCAAACTCTAGGTTATTCTCGTACCAAAGGCTAACTTCTGTCCTGTTACATAGCTTTGTTTTTTCTGCCTGCCCGCTTATAACTTTTCTCAGCATAGCTTGACTGTGTTCAAGATGGATCGTAGGCGGTGGGCGTATTCCAGCCTGTCAGACAAAACCAAGGTTTTTTACAATGCCGGTGTCTAAAGTAACTTTTACAAAGTTACCGCTATGGCGCTATATGGTGTACAATTAAGTTAGAATGCCTCGAGTTCGCGAGCGTCTTCGGTAGGCAACATTGTCACGCTATTTGCCTGACCACACTAGGATTTTTAGGTATTTTCTAAAATATTGGAAGAGCATTGGACTTTTTAAGAAAGGAATGATTAAACCGAGTAAAGATTCGCTATTAACTGAGTCAGTAACCGAGTCAGAATGAGTCATGGTGCTTTGGCTTTTTAGGACATAATTGACGGCACCAACTCCTCAGCTTCAGGCGTCAGCTACCTGGTGCTGAACCGCTTCAAAGACACGTAGAGTAAGATTCATAAGGGTACCAGCACTTTCGATTGCCGGCAGCCACTGGTGCTGGCAACAGCTATCAACAAGCCATGAGTTTACTGGAGACGTTTTCGAGCGGTTCCGGATACAGCACAGGGGCAAAACAGCGCACTACCATGCACCATTAGTGTCACACAGCCCGTGCAAGGCGTTTGTCTAGATGTCGCGATTCGGCGCCCCGCGTCAGCAAGCGGACTGCGACAAACGGCGAAGTTTGTGAGCTCCACTCCAGCAAAGTTTCAGAGGACACAAAGTTTCGGAGGATAAGGTTGTCGCCCTTTATTATTAAGTTCTGCTTGCGTTGAGCCACGAAAAGCGTGCCAGTGTTTTTTTAATGCAGTAGTCTATTCTTTTTGGTTCAGCCCAAACAGCTTGCAGATAACTGATTGAGACTGTGACTTCGCGCATTTAGTTGGAAAAATTTGCCTGCAACCGACCGGGGAAGCTTGGTCATCACTTGTATTCACATGGACAGGCCGTACAATCGTGGAGGCGCTTTCGCCTCTCGCCAACTGGCATCTGTCAAGTCAAGCCACCAGCCGCCTCAGCAGCCCGATCCTGGGTGACCACTTGCTAGAGCGGGGAGTCTGAACCTCTCGGACGCGACCGCGGCATAACCTTAAGTATGTGGGTAACTTATACCTCAGTGACCGACCACCCAATCGCAAGCTTGCCAATACTGAGACAGGACACACTGTCGTGACTTGAACAGTAAGTGCAATTAATTCTGGCCTTTGAGGCTTAAGACCACTAACAGTATTTGACATTTAAATGAACATTAAACATGAATTGGCAATCCGAAATGTTCTATTAACGGTTGATTTAGCCTTTACTCAGGCCGCTTCATGAAACGAGTAGTATATATATATATATATATATATATATATATATATATATATATATATATATGTATGTATATATATATGTATATATATATATATGCATATATATATATATATATATATATATATATATATATATATATATATATATATGCATATATATTTTGGTCAGGTAAATAACATGATGGTAATTTCAGGAAGTGTCCATGGATTGGTAGGCGTTTCGAATAGCGACTGAATCTTCAGTCAGAAAGCGTAAGCATGATGCTTTTTACGGAAATCGCATGAAAAGCAAGCAAAACATTGAATACCATCTATTGTCCTAAAATACCTGTTCACGCCGAACGCCAACAACAGCACGCACCTTGCTCCATAAAAGTACCTACCTTCGTCAGACACACAAAAGCAGGTCAAGTCGGCTACGTTGAAGGACGGGTAAATCAATACCCGGTGGACCTATTTATGCCTGCAGTTTACTGAAAGCTTAATTTCTGCTACGCTGTGATATAAGTAAAGATTATTCGGGAAGAGATGCCGCAGCAGGCGCGAAGGCATATGCCTTCCCAATGGCCCAAAATGTCAGCTCGCTCGTGGAATGTGTACTCCCCAGGGGAAACAATATTCAAACGGACGACTAATTTTAGGAAGTCCCCGAATTATCTTTCATATTGATATGCCATTCAGATCAAGAGAAGACGTCCTCCCATTCCTAACCGCCCCCGCCCCTCTCCCCCGGTCGTCAGGATTGCTTCCAAGGAAAATCCCTGCGTACCCTCTCACAGACCTCGAGGTGTTCCGCGAGGGGGGTGCGACGTGCGACGCGCGCGGACCGCGGCACGGCCGGTGGACACGAACGGTGGCGCCCAGCCGAGCACCGCCGCCTTCTGGGTCAGCGCGTTACGCGGCTGTGCGTTATTTATTCATCGGCCGTAATTAGGCCGGTCGAAGCGGGCGAGTCGGCTGGGGGCGCACGCCGGCCAGCCCGACTGGCGTATTTTGGTGACGGTCACCGAAGGTGGCGGCCAATGGAACCACCGATGTGTCCTGTAGATCCAGGGCCCCTTGAAATTGTTGCATTGACCCGGTCCGAAGCTGACTGCAGGCACATCATGGACGATATGAGGTGCTGTTTCTGGGAACGTCATAAACTTAGAATTTGCAATATGGAGAGTGGACGGGGAGCACTACGCCTGGTTTACGAGCCCACCGCAACTACTGCAGTCCGTGAACCGATCTGGTTCCATGGACGGCCGCCACGCGTCGCCACCGTCACGCGGTCATCGTCTGGAAATCAATACTGCGCGCCTGCTAACGCCCGAGAGCTGCGAGCGCCGAGACGAGTCCGGCTGGGCGGGGAAAGGGGGGGGGGGTGTTATCGATTGGGAAGCGGAGGCGGCTGGAGAGCAACGGACCTGTGCGCCAGGGCACCGTGCAGACACGGATTCGTAGAAATGGACTGCATATATTGTATCACACAATCATCGCAAACAAGGCTTCACGTGGCTGACGACGCGTAAGCGGCAGGCCGGCAAAGTTTTCAAACGTAACGGATGGAAGCAGCTTTTTCCGCTTTGCATGACGTTGTTCAAACGACGGTTGCTGGCAAATGTCATTCCGAGAAAACGGGAAATAAGGTGAACACTTGGTCAAAACCATAAGGCAGACAGCCAACCACAAACCACGTCGAACCACCCGATCCATTAGACGGGTGACCACACACTTGGTGAAAATTTGTTGGAATAGGCCTGTGCTATTGCTAACCGCCTCCCTTGGCGGCTTAGCATGCAGAGAAGGAAACTTGTGACAGCCAAACCAGAAGTGAAATATTTGGGAATCAGTGCTTATTTACATGAGAGTTAATGGACTCCATCAAGACTTAAAGCATGCGTTATTTACCAGACCGTCAAACATTTCCCAACAGTTGTGTTTGCAGTTATGCACTTGCAGTTTGGCAGATGGATTTGTGGCTCACGTTTTCACACTATTTTGTGGAAAATCGGGAACAGGACATACATGCACGCACGAGCTCGTTCATCAGCCCGCGCACGGATACAGGCAACAAAGACTTGCTTGTGCGGACGACAAGTTGCATCTGCCTGGCGTGGCGGCTCGTGGTAATGGCGATGGCAGCTGACGCAGTGGCAGAGCAGGTGTCCCGCCACGAACACCGCACTGGCGCCCCGGCCCCCTGGGACGATCCGGGCGGGCGCTGGAGGCACCCGAGCCCGACCGCTCGCCGCTGTTTGTACCTCGGACGGCACATTCCCCTTGGACACGGCGCCGATCGCCTCCAGCAGAACACACCGGGTGCTGAGCTCACGGCGCGAGACCTGGTCAGCGAGACCGCTGTTTTAAGAGCGCGTTGCTGGTTGCGGAGTTGGCCACGAGCGTCGGATCCTGGGCTGTGCTCCGAGCGCGGCCCGACCCCTGACCCTCGCCGGCGGCGATGCCGCGTGCTCAGCCATCTCTGGCCGGGATGTGCTCCGAACGCGGCCCGACCTCTGACCCTCCCGGCGGCGATGCCGCGTGCTCAGGCCATCTCTGGCCGGGATGTGCTCCGAACGCGGCCCGACCCTCTGACCCTCGCCGGCGGCGATGCCGCGTGCTCAGCCATCTCTGGCCGGGCTGTGCTCCGAACGCGGCCCGACCCCTGACCCTCGCCGGCGGCGATGCCGCGTGCTCAGCCATCTCTGGCCGGGATGTGCTCCGAACGCGGCCCGACCTCTGACCCTCGCCGGCGGCGATGCCGCGTGCTCAGCCATCTCTGGCCGGGCTGTGCTCCGAACGCGGCCCGACCTCTGACCCTCGCCGGCGGCGATGCCGTGTGCTCGGCCATCTCCGGCCGCTGGCGCCGCGGTCTGGGACGCTGTCTGCTCCCAGCGCGGCTCGTGAAACCTGGCTGGACGCAGTGGCCGCGCGTCCCCGCCACCGCTGACCTGAGCAGGCGGCCGCAGGTCAGCAGCCAGTGGCGCGTGCCTGTGCAGTGGGTGTTGCGTTACAGCTGCGGCTCGTGCCAGCGAGCCTCGGCGGATGGCTCTCTATGGCACGACTGTAAATGCATGGCCCCGGTCAGGTGTCGAAACGCATGGGGGCGTGACCGTCAAAAGCAGCTCCCACTCTGGTGAGAGCCTCTCACGCATCTGAAGTCACAAACGGCGGCAGTGAGTCAGAACCAAAGCCACTCAAGCCGTTGCCATCCACGTGAACAAGTAAAAGTAAACAGACAGTCCTGGTACGCTGCCGCTCGCTGAAATCCGACGCGTGATAAGCGCGCTGGCGGCGGCGGCACGTGGCTGGTGCCATCCGCACACACCGCCGGTGGTGGTGACGCCCGGCCTCGAGACGTCCCGCTGCGGCGTCGACACGGCGGCCGGGCGGCCGTCGCCTGTGCGCGCGGCGCAGCGCCAGCTTATGTGCAGACCGGCGCGACGGCCACGCAGGCGGCGCTGCCACGCCCGCACCGAGAGGCGCACCGGCGCCGCCGCCCTCGGTCGGGCGGCGTCACGGCCCGCTGCCGCGCCGGCGCCCGGGCGGCCGGCCGCAGCTGCTCAGCGCTTCTGCGGGTACGTGTCCTGGTGCTTGTAGCCGGTGACGTATCCCGAATTGGCGTGGTCGTCGCGGCGGCCGACGGCGCCGCGGCCTTTGCCGTGCTCGTCGAACCGCTGCCGGTGGGATGCGCCGTATTTGCTGACGTCGCAGAGTCGGTCGTAGACGTTGCTTTTGGTGCCCGGCTGCGGGATCAGAAGGGAAGAGCGGTCAGGGTGTGTGCTGGGGATATCAGGGGATCGATGCGCAGCGATGGACCAGCCGGGCTGGGAGCCGTCCCACTCGATGAGAGGGCGCTTCGGTATGAGTGTGGGTCCCAGCTCGAGCCGAGCGGGGCTAGCGCCGTAGTACGCCTCCCACGGAGCTGGTGTCAATGCTTCTTTACGTTAATTGCGACATAGGCGAGTTTAATTCGGCAACGGTGCTTACAAATATCATTTTGTTTACGTTTGATTCGAAGTGGGAAATGCCGCGAGATCCGAACTGTGGGTCAAAACTGAACTGTGGAGCGCCTGATAGGTGGTATGGACGTTTCATTAAAAATTAAACGGAACCCCACATTGTTTATCGTGTCAGAAATAAATTATTTCCATCTTGCATAACGTGTAGCGCTCACATGGCTGACTGCACAAATCACTGCTGATTAAGGAGTTCGGACATGCACATCCCTTCTTTAGACGACCCAAACTAATAATTGTGAGCACAGCGAACAAAACACATCGAGACGAGCATCAACGCACTGCAGTATGTCCAGCTTGATTTTATCCAAACTTCCTCGAAGTTGAGACCCGGAGGCGCCTAACATAAACCCCATAAAATGCTGCAAGATGCCGAATAGCGCATGCTGCCGGGAGATCACAGATGTTAACCGCGACAGCACTAACTCAGTACGGCCCAACCCAACAAAGTTCGTGGGTTTAAACGGCGATGTCACAATTCACATTGAAGAACTTGGACTGATGGGACACAAATTTCACCGCCAGTGCGACATGTCATTTGTTGGCTGACGCAGCAGAATCCGCCACCACTTACGCTGGCGTTGCTCTTGTGACCCGGTGCGCCGCATGCTGTGAGTTTCCCCTTCATCTTGTCTGGCGCCACCTTCTTGCTGGCCGCCAGATCGTCAAGGAATTTCTGAAACTCCTTGAAATGTATCTTTTGCTGCCTGTAAATAAGCGATGTCTGCATCACAAAAAGCAAGATTACAGACTACGTGACGAAATTAGCACCAGATAATCTTGAAAAACCATAGCCTACCGGGGAGCATAATAGACCACGCGTGAATCTGATGACGACTGCTTTAGAGCCATTCATCTAAACGTCAGCGCCCAAGATGCATCATTTGGATGGATGTGTTTGATTGAGGCGCGGAGCATCAGACATTAACCGCTTTCATCCCAGCGGCAGGCGGTAATTCAAAGCTCCGTGGGCTGTTTTCTACATTAATAAATCAAAGCGAAGCTTTCTCCTTATCGCGGATGCGAGAATACACTTCTAGGCTAAAAACACGTCAGGAATAGCTTTAGCGGCCGGAAAAGAGGCGTTTTGACTTATTGACACACACAAATTAGCGGTCATGTTTAGTTTACACCGCGTCTGCGTCAGCCGACGTTTTACTGCTCGTGTGACCCTAACCGGTCGCGCGCTTGCCCGACCCCCACGGGACAACAGTGCTTCACAGACCTCTCAACCATCTCAAACACCAATCGCGCTTAAGTGAAGCAGAAACGACTAAAGCACAACACGCGGCCGCCAGCGGAACACTGACTTGAACTTCTTGAAGGCGATGCCGGTGTCGGTGGTGGTGACGGTCTTGCCGTCGATGACCTTGGCCTGCTTCATCCACTTGTCGGCCTGCGAGAGTGTGATCTGCGTCCCGTCCGACTTGCTGTCGCCGTATTTGGCGAAGGCGCGGAACTGCTGCTGGAGGCCGGCCGGGCCCCGGCGTGGCTCGCCGTTCTCAGACCCGCCCGGCGTGCTGGGCGTGGCGTCCGAGGCGGCCGGCGTGCTGTCCTGGCGCGCGGGCGTGGCCGGCGCCGAGGCGTCCTCGCTCTCCGACATCCTGCCGGCGCCGACACACGGCGGATGGTCAGCAGCAGTCGGCCGGCTCCTGGGACCGACCACACCAGGGGCAGCTGCGTGGACGGCGTCCTGCCCGGTTCAGAGAACCCTGCCGCCTTACACTGATAGGAACTGAACTCTGACATTTTGCCGGAATACAACACCATGTCAGCAAAAGAACTCCCTAACACCCTGGTAAAACACGACACACGGTCGGATCCGACAACTTTACGTCCGCACAAAACACACGGGCAGGAGCAGACGTGAACGACATTCTGGCACGGAACACCGCGCACAAACTCAATCACGACCACGATCTGCCGGGCTGCAGCACGTCAAGTCTGTCGATCTGCCAGAGTACAGCACGTCGTCAAGTCTGCCCGTGGAAACAACCGTTGCCCAGCGTGGAGCTATCCCATCCCTGTCGTCGTACACACCACCAGCAGCTGCTCAGCCGTCATACACAGCAGTCAGCACATCGCCTGCCGTGTGCACGGACATCCGCCCCTATCTGGTGGCACCAAGGCTGAGCAGCTGCTCAGCGTGCGCCTTAAGTCACGCCATCTGATGGGGCCACTGATGTGGCGGCTGATGTGGCGGCTAGTGTGGCGGCTGATGTGGCGGCTGGTGTGGCCGCTGACGTGGCGGCTGATGCGGCCGCCGATGTGGCGGCTGATGCGGCCGCTGGTGTGGCGGCTGATGCGGCCGCTGGTGTGGCCGCTAATGTGGCGGCTGGTGTGGCGGCTAGTGTGGCCGCTAATGTGGCCGCTGGTGTGGCCGCTGGTATGGCAGCAGTGTGCGCCGCATCATTAGGGGGTCGGCCCGGCACTGGCGCAGCCCGTGCAACAGCACGCCGCCACCCCCTACCGGCCGCGCCAGCTGGCGCACGCGCCGTGTTAGCGCGCGACAGCCGTGGAGAGCAGCGCCGGGGTGTTGGCGGCGCCGGCGGCCGGCTTACGCCGCTCATTACCGTAGAACGGTGCGCGGAGCGATGCCGGCGGGCCGCGCGGCGCCGCGGAACGAAACGGAACGAGCGCGCTGACCGGCGGCGTTCCCACCCGGCTCCGCTGCCGAACGGGCCAGCAGCGGCGCAGCGGGCGGGCCGGGCGCAGCCAGGGTCCCACGCAGCGAGCTGAGCCGGGCGCAGCCGGGTTCACCCAGGAGGGGGGGGGGGGGGAAGATGTACCTGTATGAGGAATATTCCCGCTGCTGACACCATGGGATGTCACGTACTGAGGTCTCCGTTGTCTGACATCCCTTAACCTCATTGTTTGGTCTGATAAGCCTGGCTAGCTGACCTTTCCTCTGGCTGAGCGCCTCTTTAGGACACACGTTTAGGATACTCCTTTAAAAAAAATATCATGCATTCACTGGCCTTCACCACTATCAATCGACGCGTGCCATGCGAGCCCCTGAATAGCAGGCATGCCGTCTACGGCGCCCCATGTTCTTAACCGACTTTCGGCTGGCGGTCCTTTGCGAACGTGTCTTGATAATATCGTGACCTGATAAACCGTCGTATCACCGTTGCTCGCTTTTTTGTTCGCATGTGTACTGAACGAGCTTCGAATGTCCGAAGGCAAGATAAGATACTGCAATCAGCGCTGGGACCTCTGAACAACGGCCTTCTAAGCCCAGCCTTTCACTCCGTGCTTGAACATCGGTGTGTGTGTGGAGGGGGGGGGGGGGGGGGTGGAGGGGCAACTGAAACGTCATCCGCAAACTGGTCACGTTAAAAGCGCATGAGACGGTGGAAGATGTAATAGGCCTGTGATGGATTCGCCTCGTAACGTCGGCACACGACTTCCCCTCGTATTGGCGCAGAGCGTGGGTGACCCGTCTGACGGAGTGTGGTCACTCTCGCGGACATTTCGGGTGGTCTTTAACACATCTGGCTCCCTCAGTGGAGCGCTGGAATTCCATGCTGATCCTGCGCGTTTAGGCGATCGCAAAGGTCTCTGGTAACTGCGTGTTCGTAGTTCGAGATGAGAGCGTTACCACCAATTGAGTCAATGGGTTCCGGACCCCGGCAATTCTTGGGCATGTGGGTAATTTTTGTGTATGGTCCATATACATTAGCATCAAGGCCAACTGAAGACAACGCCCGTTTTGACGTGTTAACTACGGGGTGTCCCATGCAGTGCACAGTTTTTAACACGTCTGTTAAAAACCGTCGCGTGTTGAAAACAAAATAAATGAGTAAAGTGTTGAAAACGTGATATCGTTTCTTGGCATGACTTGATGGACCAGTACGTGGCTCAAGGACGACTGTATTTATGGCCAATAATGTCCTCGATGGAGTCCGTCTCTCATGATAGAGTGCCGTAATGGCCGAATGATTACAACGCTAGACTAACTCGTGGGGCCCGGGTACAAATCTCGGCTGCGCCGTGACCCCTGAGCGCTAACAAGATCAAAGCAACCGCTTGCGCCACGTTAAATGGACTGACTACGTAGGGGAATCGCCTCTTTTAATTGCAAAATGCCACTTATGCCGCGTCCAGACAGTTAGCGTTTCTCTTAGAGCGTATCGCGGGAAATACAGAGCATCATATCAAGTCTTGTAAGGAACTTACCGACTTCATTCACATATTTAAGGCAGCGACAGATGCAGTAATGGTATTACTTGATGTAGTCACTTTTCGCATCGTTCCTCCTGACAAGGCTTGTAGAATGGTAGAACGACTCATGGAGGAACAAAGTTGGAATCATAAGGTGTTGAACCAACGTGGAGGTCGAGGATATTATTGGACTCTCACGCCTGCGTTTTGATACCACGCACTTCCAAGCCAACGGTGATTAAAACTAGTACCAGGTAACAGCGATGGAATGCCCTGTCAGCATGGTTATAGCCAATCCGTTTATGGGGAACTGAAGTGAGATTCAGTGAACAGTTCCTCGTGAGATCAAGGTATGGAGGAGTACATGGACGACACGCGTGTAGTTTTGAAAGAGTACCATGCTGCAGAGCTCCTCGAACATTTAAGCGCGTGATCAGGGAATAATTCACAGAAGAGATGGAAGCGCATGGCTCGCTTCCTTTCCTAGATATTTTAATGTCACTGAATATCGGAGCCTAATGATGTAGGCTCCGATGTACTGTCCGATGCAGCCTTCGATGGGTTTTGAACTCTCCAATACTGTCCCCATATGTTTACATGACATTCTATGTAACATAGAATGTCATGTTTAGTCCCAAAAACAGGTGCTGGCTTAAAACTAGCCAGAGTTAAATATTGAAAATGCAGTATTGTGGCGTGGCGTGACTGTTGATGGACTAGGACAGCGACTCAGGACAACTATATTCCGAAAGCGGACTAACGACACACGACGCTTAAATGCTGGCGCCGAATGTTCTCGGCGCTATAAGATTAGCGTTGCAAAATGATTCCTTAGACAAGCATTTCATCATTATCATAATTGGACAGGATTTCCGACAAAATCCGCATGAACCAAACGGATCTTAGCGAACAATATCTTTTCATCTTTTTTTACATTGGAAAACGAAATACGACACATGACAGGGTACTTCGATATTAAACCAAGACAAGACAAACAACTGGCTGTATAATCAAAATCCGATAGCATCTGCCAACAAACAGCTCTCCACACGTAAACAGCCAACGACCACAAAAACCTTGCGATGCGTAGACAAAGATATGCATAGATACACAAAAAACATATGCATGTACTTTTATGTGCTATAAAACATTTTTATGTTTATATGTATAATACAATACTACATATAGATATAGATATAGATAGATAGATAGATAGATATATATATAGAGAGAGAGAGAGAGAGAGAGAGAGAGAGAGAGAGAGAGAGAGAGAGAGAGAGAGAGAGAGAGAGAGAGAGAGAGAGAGAGAGAGAGAGAGAGAGAGAGAGAGAGAGAGAGAGAGAGAGAGAGAGAGAGAGAGAGAGAGAGAGAGAGAGAGAGAGAGATATATATATATATATATATCTATATATATATATATATATATATATATATATATATATATATATATATATATATACTTGTATTTCCCTTTCACTGCGTGCGTGCGTGCGTGCGTGCGTATGCACACATGCATTTGTAGTTGGTGGCCTCGCGTTGCCAGCCAGCTCTCAGTCACTGTCTGGCCGAGCTATCAGCTATGCCAACATCCTGCCCGGTCCAGTCCGGTGTACTACGCGTGCAGTTCATAATCAGCCAGCGGTGAAGTTGATGGGTCCTGGCGGGCGGGGCGTGACAGGGCGGGGCAGAGCGGGGCGGGGCAGGACGCGCAGCGTCGATGCTAGCCCATCATCGCACGCGCGCGCCAGCTGGGCTGGCGACTGCGCAATGCCCGCCCCCCCCCCCCCCTCGCTCAGCTCACTTCCGCTGAAATGCAGCACGATGGTTATGAGTTTCGGCCCGAATCCATCGAGCGTAGCGCCACTAGGCCTTGTGGGCTGGCTCAGCGGCGCCAGAGGGAGGATGGAAGATTTGGCAACGTTGACAGATGAGGGTTACGCCCCCCCCCCCCCCCCGACCTGGCATTGTGCATGGGTGACTGCTGAGGTTTCACCAAGGGACCCGTGACCGAAACACCACCACGCGAGGATAATGAGTAACACTGAGAAGTCCGCGCTGCCTTGTGGCACGCGTCGGTGTTGTACGGATTCGGTACCTTCCTGAGTCCGTGCGCACCGCGAAATTGCCCACTGTGTCATGCGAAATTCTTGGCCCCGGAAGACGAGGCACATACCCTCACGGCCCTCCCCATGCCTATGTTCCTGCTCCAGGTCGCCATCACCCATATATCTTTATTTGTTCCGATGACAAAGTTCCCGATCTATGCTGTCATGCTAGATTTGGTCCCAATTAAGTTGCAGGAATCTCCATGTATTTTGTGTATCCCACCCTGGACATCGCAAGCAAACACACTGGGGCTCAGTCAGGCTGGCAGTTGTGTCGGAAACAGCACTGTTTGGTGCCAAAGTTATCCTGAGCCACGAACTTGCACGCTGCTGTGTTGGTATAACCGACTGCAGGGTCGGCGTCGGGCGGATTTCCGAGCCCGTCTGTCAGCAGGGCAGGTGTGGGAGCGCAGAAGCGCCTGAGGCCATGGCAGCAGCGCGGACAGAGTCCGGACGGCGCCGCGGGCGGCCAATCAAAACACACCAGAGTGCCAAGTTCACGGCGACGCGCCGCCCGGCCCGATCCGGCTAATCCGGCCTCTCTGATGCACCCCCTCCCCCCTCTGCGGCAGGGCGCGAGGACCCCGCGGGGGCGTTGAGCCGCCCATCCAACGGCCATGCCTTGACGCAACGCAGCGCTCCCAGTCTCAGCGCTTCATTCCACCGCTCCCTCCGGCCACAAGGCGCATTGTAATGTTTTACGTCCGAGTTGTTCACCACTGCACGGTGAGTGCAGCGACCGATGACTTCACTGGGTGCGCCGAGGTGTGCCCCCGGGCCCCGCCAAGGCGGATCTGTCCCGGGCTGCTCACCGCTCCTCTCCTGCGTTGAGTCAGCCAACTTGCAGTCACGTGTCGGCTCAGTGTGTGCCTGTCGTGATGTGACGATTCAGTCTGTACCTGTTGTCACGTCACGGCTCAGCGCGCGACTGTCCTCATGCCACTTTAACTGAACCGTGACACGCCGGCTCCTCACACGACAGCGTATGCCTGGCGTCGTGCGACGGTGTGGCGTGTGCCTGGCGGCATATGATGGCGCAACATGTGATCGCCGCCAAGCTGTGGTTCAGCGAGTGGTTATCTTCATGTGACGGTTCAAAGTGTGACGCTTTTCACGTGACGGTTCAGGGTGAACCGGCCTGCAGTCAGGCGGTGGTTCGCCACGTGACGACCCAACGTCCGCCTGCGTTCCGGCGGACGGGTCGGCGCGTCCGTTGTCTCAAGCGTATGGCCGTTCATTGTGTGACTGTGGTCATGCGACGGCTCAGCGTGTGCTCTGCGACCAGACCTTGCAAATCCGGCAATGGAATGATATGAGCGAGACGCGGGCAGAAGTGGCATTTCTGTGCCACCGATCTTTTCGTTTTTTTCCTGAAGATAGTGGAAATTCGGCCGTACGTTAAAGCAAATTAGAATGCACTTACATGGTGTGCTACGAAAAGAGAACTCATCGCGATATTCGACTTCGGTTAAATTATAAACTAAAAGGTGGCCGGTCTCAACGTAAGAAAGGAACCCGCCTGAGTGGCGTTTTTCATAAGTCAATGGAAGCCCATCCTTTACTTCAAAGTACGCCCATTCCTTACCTATAACGTCACGACCAAAGTCTACCACTCGGCTAAGAGGCGAAGTAAGCGTGTTTGTTTAGTCATCGGTGCTGAGATAACAAGGCATAGCGACGGCCGGTGCGCTGTTGACGGCCTTGTATGTCCGACCAACAGACTACAACCTCATGTGGAGAGTGTGAGCGAAAATAATGTACTTAGCTATAGATTGCTTGCCAATAGCCTTTATTCAAATCACATTCAAGGGCGCCCTTCCTGCGCAGTGTATATCTCCATGGCGTTGAATCAGCTGATTCTACTCGTGCCCGCATTTGGAGCTAAAAGCGCTCCCCATTGGCGTGTATCTATAACGCCACCTTAGTGGGCGGAGCTCGGGTCGTAAGTCAATTAGGCCGTGGTGGTGACATCATGTACCAATTGGCCTCTGTCGTCGCGACTCGCCAATTGACCGACGACTTCGCGGCCCCTGCTCCGTGGCCCGTCGGCCGAGAGTCCTTCGTACCGTCCCGGATGGCGGCGCCCGCCCACAGGTGTCCAGCACCGTGACCCGGCCGTCGACTGGACTCGCCCGTGTCTGACTCGCCGGCGTTGGCAGCGAAAACGGCCGTGTTGACTCAGGGCTTGTGAGGCCGAGCGCCGCGTGCTGAAGTGTGTGCGTAGTCATGCCGGCGTCCGGAGGCGCACCGCGCAGCCGGGCCAGCTCTGGGCTCAAGTGAGACCGGCGGCTGCTGACCAGTGGCGCGTCATCAGCGCATGTGGAAAATGCCAAGTGCGTGGTGCTGCTGTACCCATGATTTTATTTTTTTATGATAGCGCGGATTGCGTATCTGATTAACAGGCCGGGCTGGTTTCGCTGTTGTCGGACGGGGCAATGGCGATCTTCTTCGTTTAAATGCGCCACGGAACCAATGAATAGGAGAAAAGTACGATGGTATTTCATATGGCCCCTACAAGTATTACGATGCATCACATAAAACATTATGTGTTCTTCCCATTCCATCCCAGGACCCCTTATTTTCTAGTCGTTCACAGCCAAAGTAATTTACGACGAGAACTTTCCCTTTACAGGAAGCCCCCCCCCCCCCCATCCATGCCAAGAAGACCACATAGGCTCTACCGCCCCCGACTCCCCCTTCCCGTCCCCTCTAACGCATACTGCTGGCGCAGCCTGACCTCACCACAGAACCGGGGAAAATGCTTTAAGTATTCGAATGGGGGTATAGTATTTGTTCACCGCCGTATATTCCGCGTGGCTTCTGCAGTGCTGGTTTCTACGTCCGCTGACGTTGTATCTTTCTAGTTCAGCACGGTTTCAGCCACTAAAACAATGCACTGTAGTCTTTTGGGCACGGATCGGGTGCAATATAAAGTGCAAACAGGCAGCTGAGTGCACAGAACAACATAAGCAAAACTTTAGAAGCACAACTTAGTCGGGAGAGAACACTCCGTGTTTCAGGAGGTCTGAGGTACAGACCGAGCGCGGACGTGCACGACTGGCAATGCCGCTGATACGGGTAGGCCAGTTTGTTTGTGCTTATCGGCATCTCGCACCAATGCCACGCCTCACCTGGATTCTGTGGCTAGTTTCTCGCTGTGTCGGCTGCCGGCCTGCCTGGCGACTCTCACAGCGCGCCCCGCACCGCCGCTCGTCGGCCGCTGCCGGCTCCGTCTGCCGTCCTCCCCCGGCACTGACGCTGGTCGGCGTGCGGACTGCGCTGCTGGGCGTCACCGGGCGTGCTCGCCGCACGGCCGTGGGACAACTGGCGGCGGCGGCGGCGGCGGTGGCGGCGCGCGCGTGCGCCGGCCTGCCGCGCCCCACGAGCTCCATCAGCAGCGGGACCGGCGGGCGACCCGCCCGCCGACACTGCGCGGGCTGCTCTGGCCTCAGGGAGACGACGGCCACGCACTGGTGGGATGCCGTCCTACTCCGGATAACGAAGGGTGGAGGCGGGGGTTAGTATAAGCAAGTACACAGGCACGCACGCAAGCACGCACGCACACGCACATCCACACACGCACACACATACACACACACACGCACACGCAAACGTACAGAGACGCGACAACGTGCGTTACTTGCTACGGCCCCTTTTAAATAAATAGCACATGCGCACACACGCTTAAGTGCAAGTGCACACACACGCACGTGCACCACCCGCACGCGCACACCGCAGCATGCACATATCCGCACCCTGATCCGCACCCGTAACCGCACGCTCACATATATTCACGCACGCGCTCGCGCACAGTGCAGCCCACGCGCCGGCCACGGTCCGAGCACACACAGGCACACGCACACATCGACGATAGCTGATGGATACGACGCATTGCAAGGAAACATGGGGCACAAAATTCCCTTTTGAAAATTTTGAATAATCATTTTTCGAAGCATTTCTGCCAAGAATGTTATGAAAATTTCAGGTCTGAAAACACAACTGCAAATGCTCAAAAAGAAAGCAGTCGTGATAACTTTCTAAAACCAGGTTTATGAACATCATAGCAGCCCAAAGTTGTTTACTCCTGTTAGCTTGTTAAATTTATTCAGTCCACATCAGCGTTCATACCGAAATTCCATGGGTTATACAAATATACGAAAATGGATGGATTCAAAAATGATGGATGGAAAATGGATGCAACACGCATGGAAATGAACAAAGCTATGACGAGTTTTCTGCAAATCAGGTTAGTAGCGTCACAGTCTACTGCACTATGCAACAACTTGTTGATGCATATAATACCTACAGTATTGATGTAATTGTATGTTAGAATGTAACTAGTCACCTGTGAGACAAAGAAGAGCTCACCTTAGTGTAGTGACCTCAATGACCTGAGATGACCTTGAGATCTGCCGCATGACACTGTGTTTATTTGACATCAAAGTCTAGCTCAATTCCACGTTTTGATAAGCATTGCCTCCCGGCCAAGATATGGTAGCGTTATCCCCCGAAAGGTTAACGTATGTCAGGGGCCTAGGGTGAGGCCCAAATAAATGGAAAAACAACGAACAAAATCGATGGTTTATGTTGACCTGTGGCACACACCCCTAGTGGATGCAAACAATTATTTTTAGCACTTATAGCATATTTTAGAGACAATTTCACGCAGATATAAAGAGATGTGGTATCAAAGGAAACATGGCAAAATAGGAATGATGATATGACCTAATATGACTTCGGCCATGACCTCAAGCAACGAAAAAGCCTTTACAAATCTGCTCAAGTTCCGCATGAACCACCGAATGTTTGGTGCGTCTATGGATCTTTGTAATAAAAAAGTACCAAGGGAGGGGGACGCCTAAAGTCCTTGTCATTTCCACTTCCACATGGTCCATAGCCGGCATTCAATGCGAGGACTAAACGAAAACAGCGCTGTCTTTTCTTGAGAAACTGAAAAATCCAAAGACTGGTAGACTTGGTATTTGAATTTCGAACAGGTAGTAATATATATTCTATATCTCAATATAGAATGCTAAGGTGCTTTCAGCATTGAACAGACGGGACAATCTTTATTTTTGCCAATAATGTTGAGACATTTTGTCGGAAATTCATCTATTTGAATCGTGAGGCAGTCCGCCTTAGTCAATAATAATCAGATCAACACTAATGGCCCATCTACGTGTCATGGGACTCGCTCAGGTGTCACGGATAGTAAGCTCATGATGTTTTTGACTTGAATGTATTTGATAGCCCCTTCGCTATGATCCACGCCATCCCGACTAATTTCGAGTGACGTTTTGTAGCAAACTTGCACGAATTTCCACCAATGAACGCCAAACGGTTTGACCGATCGCTTAGACTATTGCACTACTTTTTCCCATCCGCAATCTGCACTCTGGGACAAATCGCAGCACAAGGCATTGACGATTCACCACACAATGACTGGCGACTTGATCATGCCACAAAACGATCGGGAAAAATTATTTAAACCTGCCGATTTGGGCATGTTTGAAGTCAAGTAACAGAACGGCGGCTTCAACTACGCCCAGCATGATCATGAATATGGTTAGCTTGATTTGGCAAGATTCTAGACTGCACAAGTTTGCCTTCCTCCTGCAAAAATTAACCGTGTTAATAATTTAGGGATAGAGTAAGATTCAAGCCTTCGCGGCATATTGAGACGCATTATATGGCCGCCGTGGAGCACCCACCTCTCAGTTAAATGCTTCGCGACAGTAACAAGCCGACCGACCGCTCTACGCTGAATTAACCGGGTGAGGCCCTCAGCAGCTTGCCAAGTTCAGCCCCGCAGCTGGCTGGCGGGTAACCTGAAGATAAACTTAGCTCGTGCTCAACGCCCACTAAATGGTTTGGCGCGCACCCGGCTGCCACCAGCTGTCCGACACTAACGTACTGCGAAGGTGACGTCATGACATCGCCAATGCTCTGCGTGTCAGTGCGCGTGTGAACAACGATTGCGTCTGTTCGGAGGCTGCCAGCGTATGGCTTCGGTGGGGCTTCATCATGGTCGCTTCGTCGTACAGTACGGCTTCGTCACGGACGCCGTAGGTGCGACAAAACATGAAGCTAGTGAAATAACTGTCTGCATCAGCATCTAACAATTAGCACATTAGCAGACAGATCACCGAATGTGCATTCAGAAGCAGGTGACTGCACCGGGACATGTACGGTGTACGTGATGATTGTAAGCTCGTATGGTCCGGTTTGGCGCGGCCGACCAGACAGCGTACGCCGTGAGCGCGTGCGAGTCCCACTATTGATCGGCCCGGCCTGCACGGCGTGCACTGTTCACCGGCGCTGCAGTTAGTCGGTGTCTTTTGGGCTGGAAGTCCGAACTGTCGCTGCGAACCCGTTCAGCCCTCTTGACAAGTGGAAACGAACGTCATCAGGCCGTTTGGCTTGTTTGGTTTCACTCGCTCAGCTTGTATAAGGACACAAAGCGTTTAAGTGCGGCCACTGCGTTGTGAGCGTTGGCAAGCATGTGGTCTTGTATAAAAAGCTTTTGATGATCATGTCGGAGAGTTTTGAACAGAAGATCAGTTGTGTCAAGTGCTCGTTGAATATCGCAACGCTCATCTGCTCGTTTAATATTACATCACCCGTCTGCTCGTTAAGTATCGCAACACCCGTCCGCTCATTACATATCGCACACCCGCCCGTTCGTTACATACCGCAACACCCGTCTGCTCTTAAAATATTGCAACACCCGTTTGCTCGTTAAATATTGTAACACCCGTTTGCTCGTTAAATACTGCAACACCCGTCCGCTCATTACATATCCCACACCCGTCCGTTCGTTACATACCGCAACACCCGTCTGCTCTTAAAATATTGCAACACCCGTTTGCTCGTTAAATATTGCAACACCCGTTTGCACGTTAAATAATGCAACACCGGTCTGCTCGTTACAGATCGCAACACTCGTCCGTTTGTTGCATAGCGTAACACTCGTCCGCTCGTAAATATTGCAATACCCGTTTGCTCTTTAAATATTGCAATACCCGTTTGCTCTTTAGATATTGCAACAACCGTTTGCTCGTTAATATTGCAACACCCGTCTGCTCGCTACATATCGCAACACCCGTTTGCTCGTTAAATATTGCAACACCTGTTTACTCGTTAAATATTGCAACACCAGTTTGCTCGTTAAATAATGCAACACCTGTCCGCTCGTTACATATCGCAACACCCGTTTGCTCGTTAAATATTACAACACGCGTTTGCTCGTTAGATATTGCAACACCCGTCTGCTCGTTACATATCGGAACACCCGTCCGCCCGTTACATATTGCAACACCCGTTTACTCGTTAAATATTGCAACACGCGTTTGCTCGTTAGATATTGCAACACCCGTCCGCCCGTTACATATTGCAACACCCGTTTGCTCGTTACATATTGCAACACCCGTCCGCCCGTTACATATTGCAACACCCGTTGCACGTTAAATACTGCAACACCCGTTTGCTCGTTACATATTGCAACACCCGTTTGCTCGTTACATATTGCAACACCCGTCGGCCCGTTACATATTGCAACACCCGTTTGCTCGTTACATATCGGAACACCCGCCCCGGTCACCATGCCACCCTGGTCACCCGCCTCACTATGAGAGCAGGATCTTTGGAAAGAGTTCGGTGATTTTTTCTGATCTGGAGCGCATTGTGTTGACACCACGCAGAGCAACAGGCCGGTGTGTGAAGAATCACAAAGACATCCGACATTGTTAACACATGGTCATGCAGGAATCCAGGAAACGCGCAGGTCTCTCAACTACCTGAATCTAGACGCACGCATTCCATATTTTAGTTAAACAACTTTGAGGATTCCCTCAGTAAAACCTAAAATCCCGTATGTTATCATATTTCCATATTGGCGGAAGATAGCCTAGTCAGCAAAAGTTGCCCCACGCTACGGCCAGTACCGTTCTAGCAGGCACGGTCTCATTGCATAGCTGGATCCGCTGCAACCCTGTATGTACCGTGCGAATTCACACCAATAATCACTGGTGGGCATCAGGAATGTTAGCGAATCGCCCTGGTTTAGCTGTCCGCGGCTCCAACGCAAAACCAAACGAAACAAATTTTTAGTGGACTTTTATTCCGCTGTCGTGTGGATCGTTGTGTTCTGCACTAAATACGCAGCAATATTTGCGATGATTTACGGCTGGATAAAATATCACAATGTCGAAAGAACGACGTGCGCCATGGATAGGAGCATTTCGTTATGTTTTCCAGACGTCGCGATCACTTAAGTTGTACGGACGGCAGCGAGCCAGTGGTGCTCAACATCATGCGTTCACAACGTTTAAAATACGCTCGTCAATTGTCACAATACCTCAAGAGTCCTCCGAGATCGGCGTACCCCAGCTTGAATCGTGAATGTGGCGTACACTGACCACCGAGCGCCGCCTGTCGGGCGATAGTGCTGCCACCTAGTGGGTTTTGTCGTAGGTGTCTTTCTCCTTGTAGCCTGACACGTAGCCGTCGTTGCTGGTCTGCTCTTCTCTTCCGGCGATGCCCTTGCCCTTGCCCGACTCGTCGAAGCGCTCCTTGTGGCTGCCAGTGTACTTGCTGGTGTCTGTGAGACGGTCCACGGCACCCGTCTTGACCGCTTTCTGTGGATACAGTGGAACGACGGTACAGAATCGTGTTCCCACGGCTTACGAAATGTTTGATTATGTTAAGTTTCTCCAGGCCCGTTTGATTATGCTAAGTTTCTCCTGAAACTGAACGTCTTGGAGCTTTTTGCAACATAAAACGCCCGAAGGTTTTCCAAAACAGGTCCCAAATGTATCAAAATATTATCCTGAGTCTAAAAAGCCTCTACGAATTTTTAACAAGCAGGACCCTCTAGAAACAAAGAGGGGCTCTCGACTTAAAGGGCGCCCTGCACCCAAATTGACCCTCTCCTGAGCGAAATATTGGCTCCGTCATTCATCATATGTGGCCCGTACAGCAAAAGACTGGCTGTAATGTTACCGATACTGGGCGAGGGTGGCGGCACGCATTTTTGGTTGTTGGGACTGGGACTGAGCTAGCCGTGGAAAATCTAGGTCAGTCCCGTACTTTACCAGGAGTTACAGTGCAGTGATGCACCAGGAGGTACTGGTTAAGCACGCCAGCAAGCAAGTATTGGTAGCCCAAGATCTGAAAAGGCCTTTTTGAAAATATTCAACAAACAAGATCTATAAGACCCTTCGGTAGAACGGAAACGATTCAGGATCTCATAACGTTCTCCTTTAAGCTTATTTGTACATGATTGTTTAGGAACACTGCTGAGGGGATCCGTCGTGGCGTAACTATGAGCGCAGCGTTTGGTGGCGGCATGAACAGCAGGGCAAGCAGTAAGGCCTGGATCAACGCCATAAGGGCAACACCGCTCATCATCGCCGCGCTCCAAAACATCTTCTATTGAATGGCAACAAGCCATGCTAAGAGTTTGAGTGATTACCTGGGGTCAGCCCCGAGAGCACTCGACCCAGAGGACGCGGGCAGGCGTCTTGGTGGAGGGGCAGTGCACGGGATCTGCACAGAGCCGATTGTAACAAGGGACATGGCATCAAGCACCAGCCGGATGCTGACCAAACACCCCAATGAGTGTAATCACCCCGCCTGCAACTCTTGCCCAGTGTTCTGCAGCTGTTACTTAAACGATATTTCGCTACGCCTATTCACGGTTTTACAATGTTTGACCTGTACCTGAGCTGCGTGGGTCTAGTCTTTCAGCATACACTGTTTCCCAAACAACAGACTGTCTCGTTCCAAATCAGTCACTGTGATGGAACTTCAAACAACTTCTGGGGAATCGCGGCATGAGGCCCGCGGAGACTTTCATACTTCATTGTTTCTTCTCCTCCATATATAGCTACAGTAGCATGAATTTTGAGCTATGACAGCACCCCCTGGCACCCCCACCCCCAATTATCGTGAATCGCTCTGCAGCGACCGAGTTTCTAAATGGACAGCATAATGCATCCGATAGTACACGGCTTTGCCTTGATATGTTTTCTATACTGCATGAGACGTGCATATGATACACGCAGCGGTTGTTGTTGTATCCGTACAATGAGTATCCGAAGACAATACACGGCACATATCGATCATAGAGTGGTATAATTTCTATAATTCTTTGGTGATGCATAATCAAGTTTGACCTATTACTTTCGATATGACCTTGACTTTGATCCCAAACATAAAAATTAATTGAAGAAATGAGCTCCCTGACATCGAAATCCCTAAAAGCACAGTACCGCACGACCCTCCAAGCCGGCGAGTTAGAATGTTGAAACCTGACCCACATCTAAGATGGCGGTGGCCACGATCTTGAATTCTGAATAATGCACAAAGGTGCGCAAGTAGCACCCAAGCTAATTGGGCTCTCCTAGGTGCATAAAACTAGTTACATAGAAGATTTCCCTCAAAAGTTCTCGGTAGTTGACATGACGGGGAGAATATAGGAAGCATAAGGATGGCGACTCGACTATACGTACCCACTCAAGTGAAAAGCGTATCATTCGATGCATACGTCGTGTATGTAGCACATCTTCATGCAAGGCTTTACCTTGTCGTATATAATGCATGCAGTTTCTGCGAGTGATATCCTTACAATGAGTATGAGGAAGAGAACGAAAGACATATATAGATCACTTAAGGTGATTTTAGTACTTTGTGATCATCTTTGACTTTTCACACTCGATGTGACCTTACGTTTTGACCCGGTGCATGAAAACTGCGGGAATGGGCACCCTGTCCCAGAAAACCCCTCAAGAGCGGTGTCACACGACCTTTAAAAACGTCGAGAAAAAAGAACTTGAACCGGACCAACATTCAAGATGGCGGTGGCCACCATCTTGAATGCTGAAAAACGCTCAAAGCTGCACAAGTGGCAACTAAACTTATTTACATTTCCTGGTTACATGGAACATATTTCCGTGACAAAAGGTCGCGCGGTGATCGACGTTGCAGGGTCTCATATATGAAGTAAAAGCCTGGCAGCTCAACTAATACGGAAACCGTGGCTCAGACCCCACATTGTCAATGCTATAATTTCCTCGAATATCTTCTCATATGACACGAATAGATTTAACCCAAACACTAGGGGTAAAGTCGAAATATACATGCACAATTGTTTGTTATTTGCCGGACCGGTTTGCCATTTTCCCCGAACTGGATGGCTATATCCGCCAATGTCCTGGCGGTACGTTTGTTTGGTTACGTCCTACCTAGCATTTAAAAGAAAAGGCAAAATGGCACAGTTTGCAGTTGAAACCCAGGTGTAGGCTGCGGCTGTGAACTGTTCCACTAATTTTAATCAAGTTTTCTTAAACTGCCCCCCCGCGCTTTTCCATAGCAAGACACAGTTACACCAATCTCGTAAAAATCCAGTTTTGGGAAACTTAGATTCTTCGGGCAAAACGATGTAAGCTCCTCCGCCAAACAGGCTGCCAGACCTGCTAGGAAGGCTGGGCGGACAGAGCCTCCTTTAATCAACGGTACCAGCGACCAGCCTGCAATAAACAGCACGTTGCGTCGAAATGGCCGGCGTAGCACCGGGATCTCTGTAATAATTTCTAGGCATGCATGCCATGAATCCGAAAACTTCGAGTTTAGCGTGCGGTTTCCACCAATTTCAGCGCAGAGAATCAAAGTTTCGAGGAATGGTAATGTTGGCAAGGAAATCTGGTGCAAAAATACCCCAAAATATTTTTTTCCAAGCAAAATAGTTTGAAAAATTCAGTGCGATTTAGCATGGCCTAGGTTCAGCGCACGCGTGACCCAGGTTGGAAGCACCGACGTCACGTAAGCGTCCGGCGCAGTGGATGAATCCTTTGCACCCGGGGCCTGTCGCAGCCTCCGCCCTCAGCAGGTATTCCAGCTCCTAGCTGGGAATACGAGGTGGCGTTCGGAGCGAGGCATTGATCTGCGCATATTTGGTTCTTCGTCTCATTATTATTACTTTCATGTTCCCAGACCACGTACCAGCACAAAAACTTCCAGATGTGAAAAATGGAGTGAGTGAACCTCGGAGTGAAAAATGCGATGTCACACCACAAAATTATGCCCACGTAGTCCAGGTGTAATTGAACCTGCTGGAATATTTTTCGTTCGTCAAATCCGTTATAATTCTTACCGTTGCGCCCTTGGTTCCGGGATCGCCACAATTCGTCAACTTCGTCTTGAAAGCATCCAAATCCATCTTCTTGGTTGATGTTATGTCTTCCAAAAATTTATTAAAGTCACCGAAACTAATTTTCTTCTGTCTGCAAAAAGTGAGCTGGTTATGCTGCGAAGTAAGATGCGGGATAATGTGATGGGTGACCCGTACCCTTCCCAAGTTGGGGTGGTTTGATAAATCATTGAGTGAATACTAAACTCGGGACAGATGCATCCATTTGTGTAAACGACTGTAAGGGTCGGTGGTGGGGGTGGTGGGGGGGGGGGTCGAAGGTCCCAATAACCTGACGTCCTGTAAATGCGCTTCTCTCAACGGGGTTAGCCCACGTTGATAGGGCAAAACGGCCAATTTTCCATTTCCATTTTGCGCGATTTAACGAACGTCTTTTTGCAGCAGAAGAGTAGTCGTGGTTATGCAATAATGTGCAAAGAGTATAGGCTGTGTGACATTTAACTTTCCTCTAAATCAGGAACAGGTATTCCAGCACAACACATTCAGGGGGAGGGGAGTTACAAACAGGGGCGTCATCTGAGATACTTTTAGCTGGGCATCAACCTACCCCCGGTGCTAACTTGAACCCTCCCAACCCAAAGCTCCTCTGAGTCCTCTCACTGCGTGACCAAAGAGGGAATACTGGGCCAGGGGCGGGGGAACTATAGCGCGAGTCGAGGGGGAGGCGCTACAAAATATTTCGAAGTTTAAAATGGGAGCCTGGGACCTTTGCAGTCTAAAATGGAAACACTTCAGTTCACAATGAGCCATCTACATGGCAGAATAGGACTTTCACAGTTAATAATGGGCCTTTTACAGGTTAGCCGGGCCTTCTACGCACCATAGGTCAGAATGGGACCTTTACGGGACACAATGGGCCCTCGTTAGGCCCAAATGGGCTATTTAAGGCTAGAACAGGCGCTTCGCGGGCCTGGATGAACCCCTCTCCCAGCCAGAATGGTTGTAACGGGCCCCCTTCAGGTTATAACGAAGCTTTTACAGGTCAGAGTGAACTCTCTTGATCAGAATGGGTCTTCTACAGGTCAGAATGGACCCTCCACAATCAATAACGGCCATCTGCAGATCAGAATGAGCCTCTTCAGGACGGCATGGATTCTCTAGAGACAAGAGGCCTCCTATGGGTCAGAATGGGCCCCTATAGACTAGATTTCGCTCTTTTGATCAGAACGGACCCGTCACAGGCCAGAATGAAGCCTTGACAGGTCAGAGTGTACTTTTACAGGCTTACATAACCCTTTACAGTTCAGAATGGGCCCTTAGCATACTAAAATAATAATAAAAATAAAATCCACAGGCTTTCCAAGTTGGGGGGGGGGGGGCTGCTCACACTGCCCCCGCCCCTGGTTCCGCGTTCTTGTACTGGATCAAATAAATGCAGAACAACTATCTTAGGTATGAGTATGCTAAGCAGTATGCTCCATAACACATCGCTATGAGTATGCATTTGGCTGCAACGTGCGGCAGCTTTTAAGAATACCAACTGTCCCAGATAAAAGTTAGTGCAGTTCGGAATTTTTGGCACTGCCTAACCAAAGTTGGGAGCCCCATTCACCATCTCTCAAAGTGTTTATATACCTTGGATTATGGTAAGGCTTTGTGCTTCGCGGCACATTTTATCGTATTTAATAGCCTCAATTTACGTATAACTTACTGCGTAGGCGTCAGAAATTCCTATCGACTTTTCATGACAAAATGTACATCACGTAATGCTTTTTTGGCTGTATTTTCATTTAATTCACTATATTACAAGCGAAGTCCGGCCACGCGGTGAAAACTTGAACAATGATGCATGCCCGCAACATCCTGAGCCAAGCCAAGTCGTTAGGCCAAATTTTTCCCAAAACGCTTAAAAAGGACGATGATTGTGCATAACACGTTCAATATCTCGGTCAGAGATCGACAACGTAACACGCGCTTGGGTGGCCGGTTGAATACGACGCGCTCGGGTTAAGGGTCGATTTGACACCGCCCTGAGATCAGGACACCAATTCACAGGATAGATAGGCCTGTGTGAAATCACTTGCATCCACTATTGAGGTCCCTTTGTCATGACTTTGGGTTAAACAAGGTCAAAATCTAGATTGATGTCCGAAGTTTCCTCAGAAATACTTATGCAGCTACCTGTAACCCGGACATCTCTTTTAAGCACAAGATTACTGGCGTTCATTTAAGGCAAGTGGTCCTATTTAATATTGAGAAGGTAACGGTGAGGGAAAACCTGCGGCATTGTTTTGTTTTTTTGAATTTCAGTGGGCGCTAATTCTCCTAAATCCGGCATGCTCCTAAAAACAAAAGGCTGGTCGAGTCAATGAAGGTCAGTAACTGAAGTTCAATAACGCATTTACTGACCTATCTGGGTTCCGAAAATCCGAAACTAGCAAAAGAAACTACTCGTCAAGGTAAGGTCTTTAGTACAAAAGCAATTTTGATTTTACCTTGACCCTTACTTTATATGTCTAAGGTCAATGGAGTTCGTCCTAATCATATATTAGATTGTCGAGTTGTTAAAGAAATCGTCTCAAAGATATACGACTTCGTGTAAACTGCGATGTCGTATCAGCTTGCACGATTCTCAGAAGTTACCTTCGCTAACAGCCATGGCCTGGCTTTGATCCGCCATAGGTCAGCGACCTTACAATGCACATCGAATTTTCTATATTTTAGCACCAAAGCTTGACTAGCTCAAATGCTGCGGATATGCA